TAGACTCATTTTGCCACAGATTTACTCCTTCATTGTTGACCCTCAACAATGAAAAGAACCTCCCCCTGCCAAATAGAAAAATATTCATTTTTGATAGAAAATGTTTACATTTAGTCATTGAAAAAAAAAGCCACAACAGAGACAGAATAACACACACACAAAAAACCCAACAAACCAACCAAAACAAAACAAGTGCCACATTCAAGTTCAGTCAACAGCCCACAACTGTCTTTCTCAAAGAGGGAGAGTATGGGCTGACTGTTTTGTGGGACAGCAAGCGTAAAGGTATGTCCTATTCTTAAAAGCACAATCACTTCACTGTTTTCTTCAGAACAAGAAATGAGAAAACAAAACAGTAGTCAGCAATAGCAAATTATGGGGGCGCAAGGAAGGAAGAGGAAGGAGCCTCAGATGTGACCCATCAACACAGGCATATCAGCAAGACACATATGGCAAGGTTCGTGTTATTTTTAAGAACAACTGCTTAATGAACTGATTTGCAAATAAAACGTGTATTTAGAATCATTGGCAATTGCCAAGATTGTGTTCACCAAGCAAAAAAAGGGTACATACTTTGACTGGGAAGCACTCGCTGGTGCTGCTTAACTCCCTCCTGCCTGCTGCTCTTCCATTATTGTGCCTGTCTTCTCAGACAGACCAGGCTTTCCCGTAGTACCTGAGATGAGGATGATAACTGATCCTTATATGCTAGAAAGAATTCCATGCAAAATGATACTCTTCAGTTCAACAGTCTGTCATCTCAAACATGGAGTTTTCAGATATGAAACAGGGAGTTGGAGATAAGTAAGACTCATTTCTTGGATGAATTCTGAGGTGACTGAATTACAGTGCAGTTGAACGTGGATGAGAGGCAGGGAAAGCTCAGGTGATAACCAGGGGAAAATCTTTGGAGGAAGGAAGAAATGAGGTGGAGGCTGGAAAGGATTTTGTGTGTGTATGCCTGTATCACTGGATGGGAAATAAATAATGTACAGAGGCAAGGTGTTTACACAATAACATATAATATATAACATATATTACATAAATACCTACATGCATGTGTGCACACACACATGCAGGTTGCTATCCACATACCTCCAAGCCCCTCTCTTTTGTTTTCTGCGTGAACATCTTTGGTCAAATTATGCCCTCTGCTGACAAAAAGGCTAGCACAGCACTGATTTTTCACTTCAGTGGGATGAGTGATTTCATGATCCAGCTTGACTACTGAAGTTAGGATTTATCCAGTCACATTCACCTGCATCATCCTGGCTCAGGTCCTGAAAAAGTTTTAGTTCAGGACAATAAATTATTTTTACCTGAAATCAAACCAGAATTAAGTTTCCCTGCTGCAAGGAACAGGCAGGTTACAAACATAAATGAGGATGTCTTCCAGCAGATGTGTCATTCCTCATATACAGTAGGCAGGTTGTGTGAGGGGTTGGGGTGCCCCTGAAAGCCTCCAGGCACACCTCAACCCCTCACATAATCTGCATACTCTATAAAGGCCCAAGTGCTGTCCTGTTAGTTATGGACTGCTACACTGCAGTCTTAGCTTCACTGCATTTCTCTCCCTGTTTCCCCTGGCAGAGCTCTTCACCCTGTCTCTTCCACAGCATACTGCGGTGCACTACTTGCCTAACCCTTCACTTTTCCTTCTGTGCCCTACATCTTCATCTTCCTTCCTATGTATTTTTTTTTCCTTGCAATGAATATATCTACCTTCTGCCTTTCTCAACAGCAACATCAGCCAGGTGCAACCAGTGATGCAGAAGCAACAGGCAGCCTTCATGTGACACTGTGTGAGACTACCTGGGGACAGTATTAGGAAGGCAGCTAAAACTGTCAAGTACCGCACTTGCACTGCACACAACACCAGGTAAAAAAAGCTAATTTCTGGCGGACATTTAACTGTGGCACTTGCTGAAAGGTGAATGGTCCTGAGACAGAATGTTATGAGTTGCCTCCAGAAAAAAAACGCTTCTGAACTTTTTATCGTCATTTTTGTTCAGATCTCTGGGTGTATGTATATACATATCTACCTATAAATTATTTTTAAAAAATAGGACTATACTTTGAGGAGCACAGCTATCCAACATCCGTTCCCCAAAAACAAGAAGGACAACTTCTACATGTATATGCAATAAAACTGTATTTTTGTGTGGTTTTGCCTTTTTTTTTTTTTTTTTTTTTTTTTTTAAATACAGACATTTGTACATTTTCTTACAAAACTGCAGGTAACTACAACTTTTCTTAAATCATTTTTGGTCGGCAAGTATTGTAAAATCTTTGTGTGCAATTATGTATTTACAGGGCCTCATGTTAGTGATTTTCAATGATTATTACAATAATATCACACACTCTCAACATAAGACATGGCTTAAGATAAATATATTAGTAAATAAATATTCTGAGAACATATTTCCATAAATGAAATGTGCTGCTATACATATACAGAATATATACAAGATGTCTTCTAGCTTTTAAAACAATTTAAAAAATGGTAATGAAGGAGAAAGAGCCCTTTGACCATATTACAAATCTTTACAGCAAATTTTATACAAAACAATTTTAAGTGCTATAAGATAACTTTAATTAAAAACATTTTAAATAGTGCCTCATGAGCCAAACACAATGACAACTGTTCACATAAGTAGTAGAAAGGCATTTTGTTATAAAAACCATCTATCATGGACACCTAACCTGTAAGTCTGGATGGACATACAGGTAGCAGGGAATTAACTAAATGCTAAATATAAAACCAAACACAGAACTCAAGTGTAGGGCATTTCTGTGGTAAGGCCTGCAGCAACTGCTGTACTGGCAGATTTCCAGAACATGTGAATGAGACCAGTACATCCAGAACACCATGAGTAAGAATATTCAGATTTCTTTTTATAACCATATTTTACCACAACACACTGTAGTTAAAGAGTACAATGCATCTTAGGTGGCCTTAGATAGTGCCTCACAAAACACCGAGCAGAATAACCAAGGTAGTATACCATAGCTTCTACAACACATTTCTTTTGAATGGAGGAAGGAGAAAGGTAAGACTTTAAAAAAAAAAAAAAAAAAAAAAAAACACCAAAAACCCCCAAAAAACAAAACCCCCAAACCTTTAGAGTTTATTCTCCCAACACATACTACTTATTTCAGTCATTCAGAGAATGAGTAAGTTTTCAATAAGCTTTCTACACAGAAAATGTGTTTATTTTAAATCTTATACCCAGATATTGCCTTATATTAATTCTCTGAACAACTGGGTTTTGGTGTTTGAACATTTTAAAAGATTTAATGTGAATTCCTTTAAATAGAATTATTTTTTCCTAACTTATTGAGTACAGAAAGTAAAAGTAAACAGATGAATGTATTTGTTATTTCTTAGATGTTTACTTCTTTTAAAATATTTCATTTGGGACTACAAAGCAAACAAGTTAACTTTGCTGGTTCTCACAATTAGCCCAGCGCTGTCAAGGACATTACTTTGGCAGAAAATGTAACGTGAAGTGTACATCTCTTTTTCATCTCTTTTAAGTATCTCTAAAGCGTACTGAACTTCGGACAAATCTTTTCAGAAGACCGGCACTGTGGG